AATTAAAGCATATTTTAGATGAGACCAAGGCACATATCTCACATAAGCCTTATCTATGACACATGCCTAACATTTCTGAGCTTCCTCTAAAAATAATAAAACAATGTATTCTCAACATAGAAAGAGTTAATAAAAATACAGTACAAGCTAGTGTTAAAGAGAATAGGCTCTGGAATGCTGGATTCGAATCTTGGCTCTGCTTCTTGATAATTGTTTCACCTTGTTTCAATTATTTAACCTTTCTAAAAATGTCCTCTTCTGTAAAATGGAGGGTTAAGTGAAGACGACCCTTTCAAGGATCACTCTAGTTGAGATGCTAAGATTAGATTGTACAGGTTGGTGTGGCAATGAGAGAGAGAGCAAGGGCGAAAACAGAATAGATCCAAGGCTAACATGATAATCCAGGCACAGATGCTACTACCTTGGACCAGAGTGGCAACTGTGGAGATGGTCAAAAGTGACCAGAGTCTCCTCTCATATATTTCTTTCCAGATAAATATTTAATAAAATGGTTCCACAGCAATTTTGACTGCAGTTATGCTGAATTTACAGATAACTACACTACATACCCAGTTAGAGATGAATACCATGTGTCCATGTTGGAACACTGGAAATCTACAACAAACATCACACTTGATGATGAAACATCAGAAACATTAAAGTTCACAACAAAATACTCACACTCACCATTCCATCTACTGTTTACTTTGGAGCACCTAGCCAATACAATGAGTTTAGTCATAAAACTGAAAAAAATTAATGAAACTCATTAACTTTAGATGCCTGTACCAAAAACAAAAAATCAAGGCAAACAACTGATAAACTAATAGAACTAAGAGTTTAGTTAACTGGCCAGATTCAAAATTAACATAAAATTTAGTACTTTCCCTATACATCAGCAATATCTAATCAGAACATGTAATGGAAAATAAAAGACCTTATAAAAGCCACAGAATTGTTTCCTAGGAATAAACCCAGTAACATACATGGAAAATTATATGAAGAAACTGTAAATCTTTATCGAAAATTCTAAAAGAAGATCTGGATAAACAGGCATACCATGTTCATAGATGGGAATACTCACTAGTGGCTTTCTTATTTTCTTTTTGTTCATTTTTACATTAGCTTGAATGTTTTATATGCACTTTAAAAGAATGTTATTTTCCATAGTTGTGTGTGCTATTATTCTCTTTCTACTGGGCTGAGCTGATTAGTGACATTGTTCAGTTCTTTTACACTGAGCTAGTTTTCTAATTTTCCTATCGATTATTGACAGAGGAGGGTTGAAATATCAAAATAAATGTCAATTTATCTGTTCTTCCCCAATTCTATAAACTTATACTTCATGGTTTATGAAGTTCTGCTACTAGTTGCCCATATTTACTATTATATCTTCTTCATGAATTGATCCTATAATTATGAAATATCCCTCTTTATCTTTGGTATTATCTGTCCATCAGTCTAATTTTTCTGATATTAATATCAGAATATAGCTACTTCAACTTTATTATAATTTTTATTTGCACGGTATATCTTATACTATATTTTTAAACTGTGTCCTTATATTTAAAGTGGATTTGTTATAGACAGCAGACAGTTTGGTCACATGCATTTTCACCCAATCTAATACCACTGCTTTTTAACTGGAGTGTGTAGTTCTTTTACATTTAATATAGTTACTTATAAGGATGAATTTAAGTCTATCATCTTGTTACTTGTTTTATATTTGTCCCATCTGTTCTTTTCTTCTCTTTTTCTGCCTTCTTTTGATGTAACAGTTTTTTTAACATTCTATTTTATCTGTTGGCATGTTACATAACACTTATTTTAGTGCTTGCTGTAAGGTTTACAGTCTACCTTTAAACAATATTATACACTTCATGAGTAAACTTACAACATCACAACAGTATACTTCTACTTCCCTCCCACTCCATCTTTTGGCTTTTGTAGTCATAAACTTTATTTCTCTGTGTTAAGAACTCCACAGTTCAGTTATTATTTTTACTTCAAATGGTCTGCTATCTTTTATATTTAGCATTTCCTGCACCTGTCATTCTTCTGTGTAAATAGGAGTTTTCTTCTGGTATCACTTTCCTTCAGCCTGAAGAACTTCCTTTATCATTTCTTGCAGTACACTGATGATAAATCCTACTATTTTTTTTTTTGCGGTACGCGGGCCTCTCACTGTTGTGGCCTCTCCCGTTGCTGAGCACAGGCTCCAGATGCACAGGCTCAGCGGCCACGGCTCACGGGCCCAGCCGCTCCGCGGCACGTGGGATCTTCCTGGACCTGCATCGGCAGGTGGACTCTCAACCACTGCGCCACCAGGGAAGCCCAATCCTCTCTACTTTTGTTTATCTTATCTCAAAATGTATTTATTTCACTTTCAGTTTGAAAAATACTTCTGATGAATACACAAAGTTGAAAGTGTTTTATCATCCACCTTTTTAAAGATGCTATTCTATCGTTTTCTGGTTTGGACTGTTTCTAACAAGAAGTCAGTAGTATACTTATCATTGTTCCCCACATATAATACATCTTCTTTTCCTCTGGCTGCTTTTTAAGTTCTTCTCTCTTTATCACTGGTTTTCAATAATTTAATTACGGTGTACCTTGGTGCAGCTTTTTCCTTGTTGTGATTTATTTAGCTTCTTCAGTCTGTGGGTTCATGTTTTCCATCACATTTGAAAAAAATTCTTTTATGCCTTCAAATTTTTTATGCCTCAATCTCACTATGACACTTCACTTACACCTGTATTAGAATGTTTATTATTATTTCACAATTAGCTAGACTCTCTTCATCTTTTTTCCAGCTTTTAATTTTTTCCTATCTGTGCTTCCATTTGGACAATTCCTATTGTCCTTTTTTCAAGTTGACTTATCTTTCCCTCTAGAATGTCCAACTGACAGTTAAGCCTATCCAGTGAGATTTTCATTTTAGATACTGTACTTTTCAGGCCTAGAATTCCCATTTTGTAAAATTCCTAACTTTTCCTCTCAATATAATTTTCCTTTGAGTTGTTGAACACACTTTTTAAAGACCTTACCTGCTAATTCTGTGAACTCTGTCAGTAAGTCTGTTTCTGTTGACAGATTTTGCTTCTAGTTTTGGTTCATATTTTCCTACTACTTAAAATCTAACTGTTTTTTTTATTGCATGCTCAGCATTATAAATGCTACACTGTTGATTGTATTCTGTCATACTTACAAGTGCTAAGTTTTGTTCTGGAAGGCAGTTAATTTAGTAAAGATCCATGTGATCTTCTAGAGGTTTGTTTTTAAGCTTTATTAGTGTGAGTCAAAAGTAGCCTTTACTGTAAACAGACTAGACTTACTTTTAAGGATTGGACTTTCCGAGCACTGTTTGAGACTGTTTCCATTTGTCGTTATTTCTCTGGTAGGCTCACCCCACCCCCACTCCCAAACCTGCGTTATTTTTGTTTACACAGGTATTCCTGAGAGTTAAAGACAGGTGGCTTAAAAGGAGGCAGTTAAAGAGAAGAAAACTATTCTCTCACTGTTGTGGCCTCTCCTGTTGCAGAGCACAGGCTCCGGACGCACAGGCTCAGTGGCCACGGCTCACAGGCCCAGCCACTCCGCGGCATGTGGGATCTTCCCAGACCGGGGCACGAACCCGTGTCCCCTGCATCGGCAGGTGGACTCTCAACCACTGTGCCACCAGGGAAGCCCCTACCTCTTTTAAAAAACCAAAGTAATTCTTTTTAAAGATATCTGCTTTGTTTCTAGCATATATAATAGAGAAAGATTCCTGAAAGAATCCTCAAATCATATCCACTTTTCTACATGCTCACTTTAAGAAGTATCTATGGTCTCTTTACTTCTTAAATTACTCATATAAACAATTCTGACTCAGTAAGAAAAGACACTGAGAATATTTTATAAATATGCATAGCTGTGGTTTCTGTAGTCAAACCTCTATTTTTATACCATTAAAAGGTACATGTTGGAGTCTGGCGTTGAAAAAAGAACAACGCCCTTCTAATTCATCACAAGGAAGGAAGAATTCTTTAAGGGTATTTTAATTTTCTATTCTTTTCTTCATTATCTATACAACCTCACTTTCTGGCTACCTAAATGTATTCAATAGTTTATGCCAAGGATGAAGTGCTCAGTCAAAATCTCCTTTGAAAGGCAGTCAAACTACAAGACAAGAAAAAGGGAGACAAGAATGACAGGTGTCCCAAAGGTACTGCAACCACAGAGACCAGCAAAGTTCAGGAGAATAGAATATTAACAAAACAAAATGAGACAGGAATGAAAAAAAGAAAGTTTTACATTTCAAAGCTCTATTTCAAAGAAACAATTGACATTTTAAATACAATATGAACAGAAAGAAATTGAGAACATAAAGACATGAAAATATTTTTGCTTAAAAATGAATTATCATTTTGAAAAGGTTCAAAATTTAACTAAATGAAAGTTATCTCCTATTATTTCAAATGCTTTATAAATAAGATCAAATATAATACCACGCCTATACAGTAGGAGAAATAAGAACAGAAAGTATTTTTGAGGGTAGGACCTGCCATCAATCAAAAAAAGGGGAAAAAGCAGTTAGAAAATCTGCTTTAATGTTGAATCTTAAATGTGTTAAAATGACTTACATTTTCATAGCAACCTGATTTTTAAAATAAGTAGCCAAACTGATACCATAATTTTTCTTCTTAAAAAACCTGAAAATACATTCATAAGTTACCTTTAATTTTAGAATACTTTGCAAAAAACATATTAGAAATTTTCTGAATGAAGAAAGGGGTAAATAGGTACTGACCAATTCTTAGTTGCACTATTATTTACATAAACCATACGTAGATCTCAACTTTTTAATGTCATTATAATTCGTATGAATTTATAACAGGATGCTAGGTCCATACTACACAATCAAAATACCTTGAAAATAATTTTTTTTCTTATAAATGTGCTTGGCATTTAAAAATATGTGACTCTTTACCAGCTAATCGGGACCAAAAAATACTTACTTCACTGTGGCACTTAGAAGAAAGTTCAGCTGTGGCATTAACAGGTTGTCTGGGGCTGACAGATAGCGATCAAACTGAACCTAAACAAAACAGAGAAATCCAAAACACAAAGTGCATATATCTGCTAACAGACATCCCAAATAAGCATCTCTTTTAAGGATTAAATCTTAGTAAAAATCCCATATTCCAAATAACGAGTTCTTTGTGATCAAAATGAGTTATTCCTTACACATTTTAACTAAAAACTCACTGAAAGTGTCAACTCTTTAATGCAGTCAGTATCAACAATACCTACTTTCAAAATTCTGATCCAAGCCATTTATCCTGATCTCCCTCACCAAACTTCTTGGGTAATAATATCAGCAAGAAGTAAAGTCTTCAGATTTCAAGTCTACCTTGCTTTCTTAAATCCAATGTATCTCAATTATTCACTCCTCTATTCATTAAATTAGTATTTATGGAGTACCTGTTATTGGTAAGGTGCCATATAACATAATGTAAATATAACGGTGAGCAAAAGACGGGCAGTCCCTAGCTTCACAGAGCTTATGGCCTAGTGAGAGAGGTAGTAAACAAGTAATACTGTAAATAAAGGAAAAACCAAGGTACTATAAAAGCATCAATCAGGAGGACACAGACCTAACCTGCATGTCTGGCAAAAGCATTTCTGAGGAAAGGTCGTTTTAGGTGAAACCTTAATGATGAATAGACGTTAGGTTAAGTGTGTAGTGGGGCTGGTGTGGTCCTGGAAGGCTTAGGTGAGAAAGAGGATGCCTACCAGAGATCACTCCATGCAGAACTTGCATGGTTTCTAAATTTTAATTCTTACTGTAAAAGCATTAGGAAACCATCGAAGAAGGGAAATCATCTGATTTAAATTTTAAGAAGCTAAATCTGGCTACAGCAAGAAGAATGGAAGGGGAGGTTGTAATAGCAGATGCAAGGACACCACATAGGTAGCTCTTGTGGCATTTTAGACGCCAAGGGCAATAGGGATGAAAAGATTAGATTCGATATCTGAGAGAATTAGAGAGCAAGATCATCAAGATTTGGTTAGTGACAGACAGGATGAAGGGGTTGACTCCCAGGTTTTGGATCTGTGTAATTCACAGCATTATCACAATTCACAACTGTACTCTTTATATATTTATTTAGTTGTGTGATAACTGCATCTCTTACTAGATCATTCCAGTTCTCAGCATGATACCTAGATAATAGCAGATACTTGGTTAATAAATGCTGAAATAATTAGTGGACAGATGCTCGTATACTTTCTGAGTTAAGAACACTTGGAAAAGGACCTGGGGTTGGGGCTGGTGGGGAAGAGTTAGAAGAGCTCAGTTTGGGATATGGTGAACTGAGGTGCCTTTGAAGCATCCAAGTTGGGGCACCGAACAGTTATAGATAAAACAATGGATGACACATAAAACTCAATCAAGAGTTTGTTTCTTTAGAGACACCTAAGATATTCAACTCAATTGTTTTTAAAGTTAAGATCAGGCATATACGAACCTGTAATAGGGCTTAAATATATTTTGTGAGTTTATATTATGAACTGGATATGCGTCACTGGAGAAGGAGAAATAGGCGGGATGCACACGTTTACTGAGTACTAACTAAGGTTACTGATCTCTGCGTAGACCTATATCCTCATTTTGCTGGGGCAGGGGGGCGGGGGAGGGCAGTAAATACCTTAAAGTGGAATTACTGGGCGGTATGGTGAGTGTACATTTAACTTTCTAAGAAACTTATCTTTTTTAGTGAATGTAAAATTTATTCATTTTCATTTATTTTTGCACTTTTCAGAATCAAATCTTTGCATTTCTAGTTTTTACTGTTATGTTGGATATACACAAGTTATGACTTACTTTTTATGTACTTTTATCATGACATAATGTTCCTTATTTATGATATTTAGTGTTTTTAAAATCTACCTTGTCTAATATTAACTCTGTCAGCTCTGTATTCTTTGCATTTGTTGGGTATCTTGTGGGTCTACCCCTTTATTTTCAGTTAAATTTAGCTCTGTCAGATGATAGATAGGAAAGCCCTGGCATCAAAGAAGTCACCCAAGTCACCTATTTATCAAAGTCAAACCATTGCAGTAGTGAGTATTGAAACACATAGGATAGGCAGTACATATAGTAGGTAAGAGCATAAGTACTGGGTTGAATGGGGTTGTTAGGATGATTAAAGAGTTAGTACATTAAAAATGTGTGTCATGCTCAATATATGTTAATGGACGTTGTCATTTCTTACTGTTTATTATTACTACCACTAGAATTAGTATCATAAAGCTTCCAAAGGAGATCATTCCTATGAGGACTAAATGAGTGTCATCCAACTGATGGCTGTGTGTGTGTGTGTGTGTGTGTGTGTGTGTGTGTGTGTGTATACACACACACACATATATATGCAAAGTATGTACTTAAGATGTGGAAACATGCTACAAAAAGTGGTGCTCATGCAGAAAGGGATGTGCAAGCAAGCTCATCACTTGAAAAGAAGGTAATAAAGTGGAGGTTCGGTGAGCGTCACAGTCAAGAGTAATATTTTAAGATTGGAATCCAATTTCAGTTACCAACTCAGGAAGAAGTCAAGAACTATAAGCCCAGGGTCACTGACAGATGGAAGTCTATAATGATATATAGCTAACTCCTTCATGTCTCTCATTCCTTTCTCCATTACGTTAGGAGTAAAACTCTGAAACTGAAGAAAATCTAAACAGGAATAATGACACTATTAGGGTATGGTGCAATATTACTACAAATGTATGTCTTGGTCAGATCTCCTTAGTTTAAGGAATACATGTGCAATCATTATGACTGGACCCCACGTGAATACTGCATATGAAGAGATAAAATTATCACCCGAGACAAAAATTATCACACAGGAAAAAATAAGAATAATGTTCCATAAGGAAACGTATGTTGAAATGCTTTATTATGTACTTACCATTGCAGCCTTCAGTGCCACAGAATCTAGGTTGGGAAAATTAGCTAAAGGGCCCTTAAAAAAAAAAAAAAGGGACAAAACCAAGATGAAAACAGGTGCTATATGTTACAATTCACTTGTCAAATACAGTCCATTAGTAGACTGCCCAAATTTGAAAATTTAGCTTATTTCCAAAGAACTCAAGTGTCCTATCTCCAACCTCAGTTAAAAGAGGGACTGTGATTTGTTCATTCTGTATAACTAGCGTGAAGGCACTCAATAATATTTGTTGGAGAAGCACATAAGTTTATTAACAATGGAAATAAAAGGATACTTCAGATTTAATCATAAGCAAGAAAAAAAGGGCAATAAAGCACTGAGGGATGGCAGTTAAGACATGGGGGCTTTAAGAGTTTCCTTGATAATTTTAGATAATATAAAAAGGCAGCAGAATTTGCTCCTACTGGTAGAAATTTGCTTATTACCTTTTATCAGAAGAAAGAATTCAAACCTTGTCCCTGGGCTATAAAATATTCTTCATGTTATTGTTATTTAAAAGTATTTTGCTTTTTAAAGAAAGAGGCTTACATGGTTTTCTAGGGTTCCCACCACTCCATTTTCTAATTCTACTGGAGTTCTATAACTTAACAAGATCAGATGTTAGCACCAGAAGTATTTACCTTTCCAAAGTAATAGACCATGATTTGCTAAATTAAAAGGGGGGATGACTGCTATTTATATAGTAATCTATGCACTTAATAAATCAATGGTGATAAAGGACTAAAAAATTTACCAATATGGATATTCTTTATATATTTTTCAATACTAATTTTTGTATATTTTCATTACTTGTAACCCAAACTATCTATAGTAAAAAAGACAGTATTTTGGGACACCCTACTATATCTCAGATAGTCCTCCAAGAACTACACAGGTATCATCTCAATCTTAGAACAATCCTATGTTACAGATATTATTACCCTCAATCTACAGATGAGGAACCAGAGAGAGAAGTCACCTTCCCAGTGAAAAATTGCTACTAAGTGTCTAGCTCTAGAAGCCGTACTCTAAATTGGTGTGTGTCTCTCTAGTTAGGAAGATCCATGTGCTTACCTGTTCGGGTTTATGCTGCTGTATGGTGTTATAGATATAACTCACGCCTGCTCTAGTTAAAACATAAGAAGCTTGCTCATTTATAAGTGTGTCCAAATGTGCTTCAATCTAAAATAAAACACAATTAAAAGAGTATTTTAAAAGAAGAATAAGACTGATTGAGAGTAGAAGGAGTCTTAGCTCTTCATCATGGACGTGTTCCTTGCAGCAGCTATGAGGCCAAAATATGAAGGACAGGGACTGCTCCTGTACGAAGACTTCTCCTTCCCCAGAGAGGAAGTCCTCTTACAAAAGGGAGGGAAAGTCTTACTTGAGGATTCCAGGACTAGCCACTAGTCAAAAAATTTGGGTTGCTTCTTAGCTCTTTTAAAAGCTGGCATTAAGGAAAACACAAACCAAAACTACTCATAAACAACAGTGTAAAATAAAATACTTAGAAAGAACTCTGGGAAGATGAGGACCTGATGTCCCTCACATCCACACTGCCTCATGCTCCCAACTTGCTGGATTAACTCAACCAATCAAATACATCATCTGGAGCAGTCTGAAGGAAATCCCATGGGGGCTGAGGCAGTAAGTCCTCCAGAGGAAAGCAGATTTGCGACAACTAGGGGACTGTTGAGGAACGAGCAGAAGGCTGGTCAAAGATGTCACGTTCAGGAGCTGCCTAAAAAGACCCAGCTAGCGGGCTCCCCTGGTGGCGCAGTGGTTGAGAGTCCGCCTGCCGATGCAGGGGACACGGGTTCGTGCCCCGGTCCGGGAAGATCCCACGTGCCACGGAGCAGCTGGGCCCGTGAGCCATGGCCGCTGAGCCTGCGCGTCCGGAGCCTGTGCTCCGCAACGGGAGAGGCCGCAGCAGTGAGAGGCCCGCGTACCGCAAAAAAAAAAAAAAAAAAAGACCCAGCTAGCAGGTGGGAGTTGTACGTGGTCTCCTGTTTTGTGCTATTCTTGGGGAAGCCACCTAATGCTAATGGGGGCAGGAGCCACAGAAGGAGACTACCTGACGGGCCGAAGTATTCCCAGGGGGGAGGAAGTGGCTGTTCCTTCCTTTAACCAGTACAGGCCTGTAAGTCTACAGATCTTCCTGTTATCCCTCACTGGATACTCCCCTCAGTTTTACCAGCTTGTTTACCAGTGGCACAGTACGCTATTAAGATATGCTATCTGTTACCAGCTGAATGTTTGCCATTGTGCAAGTCACTCCAGCAACTGAGCCCCTCCCCGTAAAAAACTTACAACTGATTTAAAAGAGGTGAGCAGGTTCTATGAGAAAACCCACCTGAATAATGAGAACAAGTATCTTTTCCTGAGGCAACACTACTGAAAGACGCAGGGTGCCTTAGTTTTTTTTTAAGTGAATGCCCAAGAAAGTACAATTAGAACCTTAGAACCCTTACTTACTAGTCTTACTGGAAATCCAAGAAAAACAAGAATGCAAATAGAAATATTTAATGAAAGAGTTATTGCCAAGAACCAAATTAGTATCTGAAAGAAAAGTGGAAGAATAGTAATACAGAGTAAATATCAAAGAAATATATTAAAGAGATTTAAACAGAAATTAGAAGGCAAATTTAGAAGACTTAAAGCCAACTAAGGACAGGAGCTTCAGAATATAAAAAGTAACAGATGGAGAAGTGATAATTAATTACAGATAACAGAAAACTTTCCTGAGCAAAAAACAAAAGGGTGGAATCTTCAGACTGAAAAGGCTTTGCAAAATCCAAGATGGAAATAATAGAAAAAGAGACATACCAGAAAATATCCTGAGGAAATATCTGAACGCAAAGAAAAATCCTTGTAAGCTTCCACATGAATAAAATAGGTTATCACAAACAAAAGAGAATCAGACTAGCCTAGATTTCTTACTTGAAACACTGGAAGAAGAAAGAATGGAAGAAAATTAATAGACTAGTGATAGAAAAGATCTGAAAATCAAGAATCTTTTACTCGACAAGGAGAACTGTCACTGTGGGGCCCGTGCCTTCCAGCATCCACACCCTTGCCCAGTCCTCTCCACACTGACTCTGGCTGGCCCACGTGACCAGTGCCAGCCACCAGCCCATCAGCAAGAATGATGCAGCCTCAATAAGCACTTACATGGTGGGGCTTGTCCTCTTGAAATGCAAAAAACAACTTTGGAATATTTGAGAAACAAACATAACGTGATAAAACAGATTGCTGGACAACTGATATATGCGCACATCGAGAAGAGATTTAGACAAATGGCAGAGTTTCGGGTTGAATTAGTGATAAATACATTAAAAACCAGTGACTATTTTTTAAAAAGATTTTACTAATTATACTTAAACAATTATGCCAAAAAGAAAAATTAATCATACTTCATTATATTTCTTTTAAAAGAATTAGAAAGTAGAAAACATCACAAACTTACAGGTCTCAAACTCATTCCTTAGAAAAACCCAAAATGACAAATTTTTACGGTAGCCACTGCCAAACTGTTTATATACTTGTGATAACAAAGAAGACTCAGAGTTGTTATTGTTTTTTTCTAAACATTCTATCTACCAAAAATCACTATTTCAAAATCAAAAGCCAAGTATCTGGTAAATTTTATAAATGGCCTTGTTGTGACTCTTAAGTGATACCATTTGGCTTATAGGACCAGAGCGATTGGCATAACAAACTGTAATGTTGTGCCTAACACTGATTTACACATAGATAAAAATATATCTGTCCTCTGCAACACCTTCTGCACTAGCTACACAGCTTGAAAAATATAGCACGTTATTCACAGTATGGAAACTGAAATTTGCATACAGAATAACAGTTCAAATTAGTCAGAAAAGCTCCATTCTACCACCACATACGATGGCTTGAATAAAATATCTTACCTGTTACATATTCTGGCTTCTCCAAAACGAAACTAAAATACTGAATATGCATGGGGGCAGGGAGGGGTTCTATCAGACTATAACAAGGGATTCATATAAATCAGGTCACTGAAATTATCTTAAAGCCAGTAACTGAGATCATGTATAGCAAAAAGATTTCATCACAGTGAGCAGTCATTTTATGGCAAAATTAACCTGGAACTGTAGCATTTCCAGACGTCTGTCGGTGAATTCAAACAGAGCTAACGTTGTCTTCATCATATATAGTGAATTGACCATGAAGGTGGCCATGTCAGCTGTGCCTAAATTGCTGGCTGATACAGTACACATCTGGAGGAGAGGATCCAAGACACATGATAAAACCTATAAATGAAAAATCAAATCAAATGTATTCCTTATTTCCCAGCCAGTGATACAGGTCTGTGTTAACGGCACTTCAGAATGAATGTCAAACTAATGGGGAGCGGGCCAACTTACAGAAGCACGTAAGAAAAAGATTAAATGGTACCATAACTGTAATAGTTTTTAAAACAAGCATCACTGAATATGTACTTTTTAAATTAAAGGGAACTGGTTTAATATTTGAAGGAAAAAGCAATGAGAAGGATTGTCAAGATACATCGGTTATAAAGTGCCAGAATTTCAAAAGAATGTACAATAGAGGAGCAATAAGAATCATTAAAAGTGAATTTACAACATACCTGCACAAAATCGGCTTGACGGGAATCTAATGGTACAACTGAAGAATCATGAGATGCCAAAACTTCACGCAACAACATGAGTGTCTGATTTAATGCAGAACTTGGTCCAAGATCAGGTGGTGGGAGTTCAACCTAAAATGAAGGATGACTTATCCACTGCTTATATTTTTCTACTAAATTTTAGTGTCTAAATAAATGCCAGTTCACAGTAAAATAATTCATATGAAAGATGTAAAGCTTTGCTGATACATTACAAAATCTATAATCTATCAACAGCTTATATTTTATCCTACTAATCAGAATCAGCACAGAAAGTGACACAAGTTTTTTGTTAGATTATCTCAGAATTAATACATCACAATTAAAAGTACAGAATTTGAACTTTAATTCAAAAAATTACAAGGAAATTTAGCAGTCTTTGAATTGTAGAATTATATTTTCATATAGATTTGAAATGGCCTGTTTTGTTTTTTAGCCCAAGTCTTAAGAAAGTAATCCAGAGACCAGCACTTCACCTACTATAATATTATTGAGAATCATCACTCACCTGCATGCCCCAATGTCAGATACTATGGCTCAATATGTATAGGTTCAGGGTCTAGAAATCTATCTTTCAACAAGCACCCCAGGTGGTTTTCAGGACCCTGGTCCATGAGCCACACACTTCACAGAAACAGTACAACACTGCCACTAAAATCTTGAATTCTGGAGTTAAAGAGATTAATTTTACATTTTGTAACTAGCACTTACTAGTTGTGTGACCTTGGAAAAGTTATTTAAATTCTCAGAGGCTCAGAGCGATTCTGTAAAGATTAAATGGGATTGCTGCATCTCAACTACTGAGTAGAGTATCTGATACTTATTAACTGGCTACATTCATCATCCCTACTTGACACCATCATGATATCCCAGAAGAGGTGCCTGTGAATTTTTTCAAAACATTTTTCAAAGTATTTATAATACTAATGTAGTCACATTTTGTAAATGAAACAAAATCTGGTACTCAGAAATCCACGTAACACTACACTCTCATGTCAGGTAGATAAAAAGGCATAAGAATTTTATAGTATCAGTATTTATATTAAGAATGTTTCATGTATAAAAGTTAATACATAAGTGACATCAGTAGGAATGGCAAAGTATGGACCTCTGAAAATCCTCCCTCCTTCATAAAAGCAACAAAAACAAAAATTATGAGACATGCCAACAAACAAAAAAGTATGATCATTTACAGAAAAAACAATCAACAGCAACTCCCTGAGGAAGCCCAGATGCTGGAAATACTAGTCAAAGACTTTAAATCAGCTCTTTTAAGTATGTTCAAAAACTAAAGGAAACTGTTAATGAATTAAAGGAAAGTATGAGAAAAAAAAAATTACAAAATAGAGAATATCAACAAAGAGATAGAAATGTTTAAAAAAAATAACCAAACAGAAATGCTGGAGTTGAAAAAGCACAATAATTGAAATGAAAAATTCACTACAGGGAATCAACAGGAGATCTGAACAGACAGAATAAATAATCAGTGATGGGCTTCCCTGGTGGCGCAGTGGTTGAGAGTCCGCCTGCCGATGCAGGGGACACGGGTTCGTGCCCCGGTCCGGGAAGATCCCACATGCCACGGAGCGGCTGGGCCCGTGAGCCATGGCCGCTGGGCCAGCGTGTCCGGAGCCTGTGCTCCGCAACGGGAGAGGCCACAGCAGTGAGAAGCCCGCGTACCACAAAAAAAGAATTATAATGGCGAAAGAGAATTTTATCTTATTAACTGGTAAAAGAACAATATGAATATGGAATTGTGTCTGAGACACAGTTGTTGTCTTGGCATTAGGAATTGTTGTCATTTTGGCCAAAAAAAAAAAAAAAAAAAAAAAAAAAAAAAAATCAGTGAACTTGAAGACAGGTCAATTAAGATTAACTGCTGTGAGGAACAGAAGGAAAAAAGAATGAAAGAAAATTAACAGAGCCTCAGACACCTATGCAACACCATCAACATCATCAGTACAATGGGGATCTCAGAAGGAGGAAAAAAGGGGGCATGCAAAAAGAATATTTAAAGAAACAGTGGAAGAAGACTTAGCAAATTTGATTTAAAAAATTAATCTAAACATCCAAGAAGTTCATGAACTGCAAGCAGAATAAACTTAAATAGATCTACAGTGGGACACATAAGCAAACTGTCAAAAGACAAAGAGAGAATCTTGAAATCAACAAGAGAGAAGTAACTCATTCCGAGCAAAGGATTCTCAATAAGCTTAACAGTTGATTTCTCATCAGAAAACACGGAGATTAGAAGGCACTGGATGATATATTCAAGGGCTGAAAGAAATATACTGTCAATCAAGAATTCTATATTCAACAAAACTACTCTGTAAGACTGAAGAAGAAATTAAGACATTCCCAATAAAACCAAGAATTCTTTACCAGCAAACCTGCTCTACAAGAAATATTAAAGGGAATCCTTCAAGCTAAAATGAGTAGCTTGAGTAGACAGTAACTCAAATTTGCAAGAATAAAGAACAGCAGTCAAGTTTCTGACATCAGTAAATATAAAAGGCAATTTACTTTGTACAATGTACAAAGTACTTTGTACAATGTACTTTGTACAAAGTACAATGTACTTTCTGCTTTTAACTCCTTTTTCCTGGATTTAAAAGACAACTGAATGAAGCAATCATTTTAAATCTATGTTGATAACCACACAATGCAGAAAGATGTAATTTGTAACAACAGTATCATAAAGGAAGGGGAAAATGGGGCTATACAGGAGCAAAGCTTTAGTACACTATTGAAAGTAAGTTGGTATTGATCCAAACTAGCTAGATTATTTAAAAATTAAGATGGTAATTATTATTCCCAGGGCACCATTAAGAAAATAACTAACTACACACATACATTAATATTTACATAAACAATAAGGGAACTAAAGCAGTGTACTAGAAAATATTTACCTAACACAAAAGAAGGCAGTAATGGAGGGACAGAGAAATAAAAACACTTAGAACATACAAAAACATGGTGCAAAATGGCAGACATAAATGCTACTTTATCACCAATTAAATTAAATGTAAACATGCTAACCAAAAAAGCAGAGGCTGGCAGATGGATAAAAGAAAAAAGAAATACACTGACCCAACTATATGCTGTATTCAAGAAACACACTTTAAAGACAAAAATAGACTGAAAGTAAAAGGACAGAGAAAGATATATCTTGCAAACGATAACCAAAAGAGTGCTAGAGTAGCTATACTGATTTCAGACAAAGAAGACTTTAAGACAAACACTGCTGCTAGAAAGGAGGGCATTTTATAATGTTTATTATAAAGAAGATACAACTATAATAAACATACATGCATCTAACAACAGAGCCAAAGAATACATGAAGCCAAAACTGACAAAACAGAAGGGAAAAGTATCTCTTGTGGTGAAGGAATAGTTATGTCGAGTTTGATACCTCCTTCAGTTTTGGTTCCTTTTTTCTATTACATTCAAATAAGACTGAACTTAGAAAAACTCCAAAATATGAAGTCATCTTTATAAAAGTATTTTCTACCCATTCATCCAATTTAAAAAAGATATCTAGAATGTTGTTAAACTGACGGACGATTAACACAAGAATGTATTCAGCAGTCAATAAACACACAAAAAACCGTTCAACATCATTAGCCTTCAGAAAAGTACAAATCACAAATGAAATACCACCACACAACTTCCACAATGGCTAAAATTAAAGACCAACAATATCAAGTACTGGAGAGGATGTGGAGCAACTCAAATTCCCACACATTTCTGGTGGAGTAAACTGGTACAGCCACTTTGCAAAAATGCTTGGCAGAGCTATCAAAGCTATCAACCCAGATATTCCGTTACCGTGTATACACACGAGAGAAATGAAAACTTACGTCCACCAAAAGACATGTACAAGGATATTCACAGGCGCTTTATTTACAATATCTAAGAAATAGAAACAATACAAACATCTATCAATAAACCGTAAATTTGTATACTAGAATTATTACACCATGGTTAAAAAAATGAACTACTGCTAAACACAACATGGACGAATCTTACAGATATAATGCAAGAAGTCAGACCCAAGAGTTCACCTGTGTGAATTTACTTATGTGAATTTCAATAGCACACAAAAACAGGAAACAGGAGTCAGATGGTGATTGACTTTGGAGGCTTCTGACTGGGAAGGAGCATGAAGAAGCTTTCTGAGGTGCTGGAAATGTTTTATATGTCGATCTGGGTGATGATTAATGAACATATATACAAATACAAAAATTCAATGAACTTAAGATTTGTATACTGTAAATTTTATCTCCATTTACCGTGAAAGTTCATTTAACCTTTTTCTGTTTATATTATGTAAATATTGATAATCAATAAGGTTTTATAAAAATATCCAAAATTCAAGTGATTAATAATATTAATAATTATAAGGTACAAAAGAACTTCATGAAAGATATATTCATAACTTTTAGGTACACTTCCCAACTATTAAAGTTGAAGTATAAAGAAAAATTTCATATTTAAAAGCATTTGCTCTACTGAAAACTTCATATTCTATATATTAGAACCTCTTTTTTTTTTTTTAATGTATAGAGCTATAACACTGAACAAAGTTCTCATTCTCCTTGGGACTGTTTACTACGACATTTTTTATCCCTTTTGTAGATACGTGCTCTATTAGAGGAGAATGAAAAGGGTGCACCATAAAAGTTCCAAAAGCTGTTTTTACAACCTCATTCCACTGCCAACTTTAGTTTTATTCTTTGAAATAACTTCCATTTAAGGTCCTCCAATTTTCTGTACTGCAGCTTCTTAGAAGACCACTTGCCCATGCGCTTTCAAAAAATAAAATCAACACCAAACAAAAACCCTCATATTCTTTTAATACATACTTTAATCTTTTTAATTAATTAATTAAAAAAAATTTTTTGGCTGTGCTGGGTCTTCACTGCTGCACCCTGGCTTTCTCTAGTTGTGGCGAGCAGGGGCTACTCTTCATTGCGGTACGCAGGCTTCTCAATGTAGTGGCTTCTCTTGTTGCGGAGCATGAGCTCTAGGCATGCAGGCTTCAGTAGTTGTGGCACACGGGTTAGTTGCTCCGCGGCATGTGGGATCTTCCC